ACCCTGGGCTGGTCTACAGTGCTTTAGGTTTTTCCTTTTTTTTGTCAGGGTCCAATCTGGCTGTAGGTGGCAGTATAACCAGAAGGTTTAGGACATTCGGTGTCCCTTAATGGATTTCAAGAAAAGGATTTTACCTATCGGTTAGGTATCCTGTTAGTTTTTAGGTCTTTGCGTCTACAGATGACCCTTTTTATACTGCTTTATTTTTATACCATGTATAGTTTTCATAGCTTTAAAGGAGAACTATGGGGTCAGGGCTTTTCCCCATAGTTCTCCTAAGGGTAACGGGAGGACACAAACTTGCGTCCTCCCGTCACCCAAAGCTCAGTATACCGCCAGCTACACCTCGCAGTATACTGAGACCGCTGCAGTCGGGACGGATCCCAACACTACTGTCTGGATCCACCCAGCTGCGTGAGTGACAGCTTGCTTTGCCTATCTAGAGGCATAGCCAGCTGTACCCGCCCCTTCCCCTGTTCGTTCTGCCAGTCAGCGCTGGAGGATCGGACAGGGGAGGGGGGGAATCCCTGCAGGGAGCCGTAGGTGACAGTCATGGCTTTCTGCAGGGACAGGATGGAGAAGTGAGCGAGCGACAGTATGTGTTCGCTCACTTCCCGATCTATTGAGCCGAAGTGTGACAGTTTCATTGTCACAGGTCGGCTCGAACTATGAGGCTGAGTGATTTTTCACTCGCCTCATAGTTCTTCTTAAAATGTTAAGGTTTTTGATCTGGTTTTTTTTCAGAGATACAGTTCATAACAGAGAAAGCACTTACATTTAATTTGGTAATACAGGTACAACTTTTTTTACCTTGCTAATTTTTGGGTGGATTTGTTGCAGCTATTACTATTGAGGCAAATTTTTATTTTTTTGGTGCTTTGTTTTTAAAGTTACTGAGGGAACACTGTTTCTTAAGTACATAATGCTTACATTTTCCATGGCAACCAGCATTTTCTCTGCATTCTCCTACAAGGGGAGTAAAAGTGAGACCATGATTGGCCACGGACTGTCAGATTGTGAAAGTGTCTTTAAAAAGTGCTGTTTATAATTGAGGAAATTATGAATAATGACTGTGGAATGCCATGGCCACAATTCACATACTATTCAATAAAAAAAACCTTTCTTTTTCATGACATATGTTACATATTTAAGAGAGTGGACTAAATTTGACCATGCTGTATATTCTTTCTATCTGGAGATATTATAATAAGGAAGAGTGCTATAGTGAGTTTGTGTTTGTGTGTGTCCACTCGTGTGCTGAGCACCCCAGCTCACTTAAACTAGTTGCACATTGCTTGGAAATGAGTGTAGAAGTGGTCCCAGTACAGTAATTACATGACAGACATGCTGCATTGTTATCTCATATTCAAATTGTGTATCTGTACCCATTCATGTCCTGTGTATATACTCAGGGCCAGATTTGTAACTAGCCCACAGAGGCCTGGCTCTCCTCTCCTTCGGTTGATGAGAGCCAGATAGCAATGCATTATGTCTAAGGGGGTTAGATAGTAGTACTCTCAGCCTTGTCCAGTGTAGGGACCAGGTCACTTGACCTGTCATAGGGACAACACCCAAACAGGTTAGGAAGCCAAGTCACAGTGGGATCTCTCGACAATATGGGGACCAACTGTTCTGAGGAACCAGACTTAAGCCTTTGGCATGGGGACAGTCCTACATGTGGAGTCACGACAGCTAAGAAAAGGTCCAATGACCCATAAGATGTACATTTCTTTAAGAAGGGTTTGAACTGAACAGCCCCGCCTGATGCTGCTTAATAGTTGTCAACGCTAGACACTTTTGAAACCCTATCTGGTCGAAGCTTGCAGGTGTAAGGCCTTTAGAGGTATTCTAAAAAGCGGATCCTCTTCAGGAAGGGTTTTTGACTGTTCTACAATGAGATGCCAGGAAGGTGCACTAGGGTGGACATAAGGACCAGTTTCGTGAGAAATAGCAGGTGACACTGACTAGTCAGGCTCTTATTAGGGAAGGGAGCAGTAGCAATTGGTCTTGGTTGACCTTGTAGATCAGGGGATTCCCCTGGAGAGGGGGGAAAACTGAGGGGTACCAAGTAACATGAGGGGTTCTGCAGTATCTCGGGATCTAGAATTTCCCTGATGAAGTGAGTGGAGTGTATATCCATGTGCGGTACAACTCGCAAAGCCAAGTCCACCCCAGAAGGCCTGGAAAGATTTTGTGCTACTATACACTTCTGTGTATAGTAGCACAAAAAAGGCGAGGGGCAGGTGAAGGAGGTGCCATACACAAGGGATTAGCCTGTGGGCTAAAAGGGTTGACCTTCACACCAAAGTGCCAGGGGGGCAAGCGACCCAAAGACCCATCTGGATGTACAAACAGCCCTCCACTTATAGAAGTGGGGATGTACCTTTATGCAGAAGGCTTTTTAGAAGGGTTAGGTGACCTCTGGCTTTGAGCCTTATGGGCTGAGTGGGAGTTAGGCTCTGAAATCCTACGAGTACCTTTCACCTGTGGCGTTGCTAGTGATAGTGTTAAGAGCAGGTTGAAGGTCAACCAGCAAAGAGACAGCGTCCCTCTAAGGCAGGGATGGCCAAACTCCAGCCCTCCAGCTGTGTTGAAACTACAAATCCCATGAAGCATCTCCGGAAGTCATGTTTGTGGCTGTGAGAATCTTGCAAAGCCTCATGGGATTTGTAGTTCCACCACAGCTGGAGAGCCGCAGTTTGGCCATCCCTGCTCTAAGGTTAATCAAGACAGATACTCAGTCGTATCATTAGCATCCCAACCACATAGCCAAAGTGTTCTATGCAGTTGTATAGCCATCAGTGCCATGCAAGACACAAGTTTAGGTGCTCGCAGCAAGTCATCACAACTAAAGCACAAGACCCTCTTGATACTCGCAAGGCTTTTGACAGTGTGGAATGGCCTTATTGAAGGTTTTACATCTCTTTGGATTTGGCCCTTGCATGATACAATGGATTAAGCTCTTATATAATTCTTCACTGGCCAGGATCAGAGTTTACAAAGATATCTCTCCTTCCATTGACATTTCCTGGGAACTTGACAGGGTTGCCCGTTTTCCCTGGTCCTCTCTGCTCTTGCAATTGAACCTCCGGCACCCCTGATAAGAGCATCTACCTTGTTACGTGGCTTGTTGGTGTGTGAGCTAGAGGAGCGTATAAATAGCTATATGCTGATGACACGTTAATATATCTGCCTGATCCCAATCGCTCCCTCATTCAACTACTTCAATTGTTTGTTAGAGGAATTTGGTCACTACTCTGGTTTCAAAGTTAATTGGGAAAAGTCTATTCCTTTTCCTCTAGATCCAATCATGACAGCAAATATTTACCACTAGTCTCAATTGAAAGTGGTAAACAAATTTAAATATTTCAGTGCCCAGGTTCAGCTCCCTCTATCTTCCTATATTGCTAATAATTTGCTTCCAGTGATCAACTCTCTCCAGTTTAAAATGAAACAATGGTGGGATTTACCATTTAATCTTATGGGTAGAGTTAATATTATTAAAAATGTCTTACCAAAACCTTTGTATATCCTTGCTAACTCACCATTCTATATCCCATAAAATTCTATATGGGCATCGTTTCTATGACTGGGACGTAGTCCAAGAGTGGCTGTGGAGGTGCACCTTCCTCACTCCATGGCGGGCCTCACATTTCCCAATTTTCATTTGTACTATCTGGCGGCCCAGCTGGTGGTAGTACATGATTGGTTGGGCCCTGATAAAGGGAATGTATTCGTGGCAACTGAGGCCGCAATACTTACCTCATTTGAATCCTTACACAATGTCCTGTATAGAGGGATTTCTGGTGCTCAACCAGGAGTGTGGAGAGGTGCTGAAGCTCCTTCCCTGAGATGCAGGAAACATATAGTTGACCAATCCATTCCTCTCTATAAAATGACCTGTGAACAGAGGGATAATCCGCAGCGCTTTGAGCGTATATATGGAAGCATGTATGTCAACTGCATACATGCTTCCAAGCAAAGAATGTGGTTATTCTGACTTTCCACTTACCTACTGACATGACCTCTGTAGTGTGATCTTCTTTACAGTACAAGTAAATTAATACAAACAACAAGGCTATAACCATTCTGATTTATTCCACTTTTTGTAAACATGATTCCTGGAACTCACCTCCAAAATGGAAAGAAAAGTAGCACATTTAATAAAGTAGCTCCAAGATATTTTAGCGTTTATTCGGGATTGTGTAAATTGGATTGAACCTGGATTCCAAGATCTGATGCAAGAAACAGCCCACACTGGTTAAGTTCTAGCCACATGTAGCCCAGAGGATAGAAAATGTTTGGAAATCACCATATTAAATCAGATATTTTAGTACATAAATATATGTGCATGTAATCAGTAATAAATGACTGGAATCTAGGAAATGTGGCAACTCTGCATTTGATATTGTAATTTAGGGTGTTCTAGATTTTTTAAAATTAATCACATATCACATAGGGATTTTTAATTAAAGAGTAAACACACAAAATTGTTTAGTTTTTTGGTGGATGCTGTGAGGCTGAATCATCCACTTACTTCCTATGTCTCCAGAAGATTCCATTAATGTGGTGCCCTGACTCCCTCGCCTCATGCACTTCTCATTGTGTTTTTTAAAGTCAAGTGAGGGCTCCGAATCCTCCTGTTGTACTGTTTCTACTTTAAAATTCATAGGTAATTGGAGAATCCAGTGGGTAACATGAGTCCATTGTTGATTGGAGGCGGACATAGTCATAAACTCGGAAATGTAACTGTCAGGGTCCTGGAGCAGTACATGAATCTAGGGTGTGATTCATCCTGTTCGTTTCCACCATCTCTGAAATATGTTATGTGTGGCCTAAACTTCAAATGATATATAAATACACATATTCTAAATTTACAAAATTAAATGTGCATGAATATATCTTAGTGGTCTTTCACAGGTCTTTTTAAGGCCCTAGGCATGGTCCAGCCGTCCAATGCCCCAGTTAATTGTAAACAGCTTTAGGCTTGTAGTCCCAGACTAGTGCAGAATTTTAGAGATATCTGAAGCCTCATCTCCATCATTATACGGCTCCTACGAAGAAAAGAGCAAATGGAAATTACTAAAGTCCAGGCAACACAAGACTATAAATACTTGTTAGTGTACAATATGTACATCAGACTGGAAATAATTGCACCAAGACCTTTCTTACGGAATCTATAGTACAACAGACATTACGAACAGCAAAGATTGCTCCTCTCACCCATCGTGGATGCTGCATTTAAAATTTTCAGCTGTAAACTTAATTGCAGAGATACATTCTAGCACTGACCAACTGTAATGCTGACCATACACAAAGCAATTTTTGGAGCTTTCAATCACAGAAGTTTGCCACCAACTTTATCAATTGTTTCCCAGTTTCAAGCAACCCAACAACTGAAACTGTAATAAACCTTTATCCAAACCACCTCAATGCCAATCAAAGAGCATTTCAGTTTGATTCCAACCCCTGTCTATAATAGGGCTGCAACAACTAATCGACATAATCGATTATAATCGATTATTGAAAAAGTTGTCAACTTTTCCAATAATCGATTAATCGGCTTCCGATCAGCTGGCCCTGTTTACAGCTCCACACGCTGTGCGCCGCACCTTCTCCCCACCTCACGCTCGCCACTGCCAGACCCGCTCGCATCCACGCTCCACACGCCGCACCTCCTCCCCGCCTCACATTTCCTGCCCATCCACATCCATGATCGGCACAGGGACACGGGGAGAAGTAGTAAGGAGGAGCAGGTGTGGGGGATGACAGCTGCTGATAGACAGGTCCGATCGCAGAAGCACGTTGCTGGAAGACTGCTCAGGTAAGCCTACACCCCCCCCCCACATGGTGCTCTATAAATGTATTGCTGGGATTTGTCGTCCTCTATAGCTGATGGTACATTCTGCTGTACTGTATATTATACAGAGCATGAACCTGTACCATCAGCTATAGAGGAATACAAATCCCAGCAATACATTGTACGCTGTATGTATAATGTATTGCTGGGATTTGTTGTACTCCTCTATAGCTGGTGATATTCTGCATTGCGCTGTATAGAGGACTACAAGTCCCAGCAATAATACATTATACAGCGCAATGCAGAATACCACCAACTATTATGTACTATTGCTGGGATTTGTTGTATTCCTCTATAGCCGTTGCCATTCTGCATGTATTGCTGTATAATTTTACACTTTCCATTTCACTATATTGCACACCACACTAGCTTTTTTACTTCCACCGCTCCAAGCTTGCTCCTGTGATGGACTACAACCTCAATACAAACTAGTAGTCCTATCACTGGAGCCATTTTTTAAACTTTATTTTATAGTTTATCCGATTAACCGATTAATCGAACTTAATAATCGGCTAACTAATCGATTTTTAAAATAATCGTTAGCTGCAGCTCTAGTCTATAATTTTCTTGAAACTATTTTGAGCAAAGGAGGTGGGTTGCTATGGATTGCTTTACATTAAAACCTGTTGGAAAGCTTCAAAGATTACCAAGTACATGGTTAGCATAACTACTGGCTCCTAAAACATTGACAGTAACGTGTTCTGTAAACGGGAATGCTTAATACCTTTAGTATTTTCCACATATAGCTTTTTGCTGAAATATGGAAAACTAGAAAACACGTATAAAACTGGGAGCAATTGAATAAGTGCAGTTAGCCACAGCAGCCATTCAGAAGTCATCTTTGATGTTTTTACTTATATGAAGTGGAACTAAAACCTCCTACGCTTTACAGGCGAGGAGGGTGCCATCTTAGCTTCTATTTAGATCTGCAGTTGCTATGGTGCTACACATGTGACCAGCTATGATACCAGCCTTTGAAGGTTTGAAAGTTCAGTTGAGAGCTGACATTAGCACACTGGTAATGTGGCACTTATCACCTGAGACATGCCTTGAATGTAACTGTCTGGGGAAACACAACCATAGAGCTGTAGCACCTGACTCCTTCACGACCAGACAGACAGAAGTGGTAAATTGGTGTCCATCAGCTGCACTGAAAAGATCTGTCTGCAGACCACAAATCAGGCTGGACAACACTTTATTGCAGCTTGCACAGTCCCGCCTTCAGCCTCTAATGCATTTTACCTTATCAAGGGCTTAACCACAGAGATTTATCCTCTATGATTAAGCCCATGCTAGGGTGAAATGCATTAGAGGGCGGACCCGGAAACAGGACTGTGCAAGCTGCAATACAGTGTTTTCCAGTGAGATTTGTGGTGTGTGGTTTTCAGTGCAAGAGTTGTTTAGACAAACTGTTTAATTGGTGGGTTTACTTCCACTTTATAGATAAATATCACGTTTTACAGTTAAGTTTAACATTAAAAGTCAGCAACTATGACAATGTTTATATTTTATTACCTCAAATTGGTCAAAGTAACAATTAGCTCCATAAACTGGATTTGGAAAGGTTACTAGAGGAGGATTTACAACATTCTGCATATCTAGATCATCATCTTCCCCCTGTGAACAAATGAGACAGCCAGGTAAGCTTTTTTTTTTAAATAAAGCCAGGAATTATGGTACATTTCTGTGGAAATTATATAATTACCTATACAAATTGTAAAGCTAATGTGATGCATAGATGTAAAGTGATAACTTTGGTGTGTTTTTTTTGCAAGCAGTCATATTCTTTTAGTCCCTAAACTGTACAAGAAATTAAAATCCCCTAATCTATGCTCCAGTGCTTATAAGTGACCCCAAATCGACGTATTTCAAACTGACAACAAAGCAAAGAAAGTCCTAAAGCCCTTATGATGCATTATGCGATGTATATGAAAATGTACTCAAATAAATCCATATAATAACAAATATAAACACAGGATCCCAAACATTTAAACCATTTTAAACTACTCTATAATACCTTCGCAGTTCGTGCAGCACTAGGCACAGAGCCATGCATTAGACTCTTTGTACTGCCATTTCTTATTTTACTCATGTGTGACTCTCACCACTGAATCTTCTTCCATTTGTTTAATGATAGGTGTTTTATGTGGATACAACACTTTACATATAAGCTTGTGTTTCTTGTGTCACATTGTTGCACATTGGATAGTGTTGCATATTGTAGTTATCTGATTTTAAAGTCTGCACGTTTCTGAGCTGATGGAGGGGCTATACCCCACAAATGTATTTGCTTTAACTTAACTATACGCCTGACCCTCTAAATAAAGTGCTTTTAAATACATTACAATTCTTTTATTCATTTCTTGTGTTAATTTGTATGTACATCCTTGTTGATGTCCCTAATCCTGCATTGGCCCCTAGCACTGATTCCTGGGGCCACCACATCTGCTTGATTTGTTTGTCGAGGCCTCTACAGCCTCTTTCCCATGCACATGAATAACTTACAAAAGGTTACTTCGGATCATGGCCAGCTTGATGACATCACATGTCATCCTAGTGCCCATTAGGAGAGTAGGTACTCTCCTGAAGGTTAAACATTAGGAACATAGTTTAGTAAATGTTAACCAACCTTGAAATGTGTGAAGTGAAAACCGTCATTCTGTTTTCTGTAGTACAGGTAACCAACAGAAGCAGCGATCAGTGCAATCACCATTACAGTGACCAGCCCTGCAGTTACAGGATGTGATATGTGGCTGTCTGTAATCTCCTAAAAGTACAAATCACATAGGTAAATTAACTCTTGTTTGTGAAGACATCCTGTATAATCAAAGAACACAACACCTGTGCCGGTCACTGTAGACACTACATAACATAACAGTATGCATACTGTTTGAGGCTTTTCATGTGTTTACAACAATTACATGTCTGTTATATGCAAGTTATATATAAGAAATACAGTATTGCTCCAAGCCCAAATAACATATCAGGGTTTCATCTGTCATATACATAAAATAGGGTTTATTTACCTGTATAAGTGGTGCAATTAATGGTCCATCAATAATATGTATGATTCCATTAAAGGCAGGGATATCCCACAGTATAATAATTTTGTTGTTTACAACTTTAGGGCACTGTAGAGATATAAAAAGATTAACAAAGTGTCATATGATTGGGGGGAGATTAATGGCATGGTGACTATACTGTAGACATTAGATAGCTCCACATCTTAGAGCCAGTGCAGAAAAGAATATCATAATCCTTAGTGCAAGAATTAATATTATTTTATTTTTTTCTGGTATAAAAACAGATCTCCAAGCAGATATAAAAACACAAATCAATTGAATTATATATTCATTAAATTCAATGATCATTTAATGTATATTTTATAAATACATCTAGCATAAGTAGCTGAATTTGACTTGGTATCAGCCACTAGTAATCCCCCAAAAACAAACAATGCAGTTGTTACACACACTCAAACAGTTATTAAAAATAATGAATATCTACTTACTGGAGGCTGAGAGCAATTACCGAGGAACTCTGAGATAGAAAGATTGTATCCTGTGTTGGACAGCAATGTGGTACCATTTGTCAGATTTGAGTATGGAACTAAAATGTCTAGTTTAGAGATGTGATGTTCTAAATCCCGCCATGTTAGTGTCTGTGAAAAAAGTAGGGTCATTTAATAGGAAGATATAAAAGGTCAGATTCAACACAGACGTGAAAGGACACTTCATACCAACATAAAAGAGAACAGGTTCACACATGGGCGTAAAATGATATCTTATAACAAGACTTAAGAGAACCGATTAACGAGTAGGGGAGGCAAACTGTTGCTTCATATCAAGACATTAGAGAATGGATTTACACATGCAGGAAATTATACGTTATACCAAGTAAAAATAAATATATTACCCATAAGGGGGCAAACTAGTACCTTATATCAAGACATAAAAGAATACATTTACCCATTGAGGAGGTGAAGTGATACCTCATACTAAGATATGAGAAAAGTTTTACCCATAGAGAAGGTTAAGAGATACCTCATACTAAGATATAAGAAATGTAACTATAGAGGAGGTGAAGGTATACCTTATACTAAGATATAAGAGGACGTGGAAGTATACCTTGTGCTAAGTTATAAGAGAACAGAATTACCCATAGAGGAAGTCAAGTGATACCTTATACTAGGATCTAAAAAAAAATAGATTTATCTAAGCGATACCTCATACTAAGATACGAGATTAAACTATAAAGGGGCTGAAGGGATACCTTATACTAAGCTATAAGAGACACATATCTATAGAGGAGGCAAAGTAATACCTCATGCGAAGATATAAGAGAAGTAAAGTGATATCTCTAAAATATAAAAGATCAGATTTGCCTATATAAAGGTGAAGGGATATCTCATACTAAAATATAGGAGAACAGATTCATTCACATATAAGGTGAATTGATGCTGTATACAAATTTAAAAGAGCAGATTTACCCATACAAAGGTGAAGTTCTACCTCAATCTAAGATATAGAAGAACAGACAGAGGAGGTGAAGTGATATCTCATACTAAAATATAAGAGAACAGACAGAGGAGGTGAAGTGATATCTCATACTAAAATATAAGAGAACAGACAGAGGAGGTGAAGTGATATCTCATACTAAAATATAAGAGAACAGACAGAGGAGGTGAAGTGATATCTCATACTAAAATATAAGAGGACAGACAGAGGAGGTGAAGTGATATCTCATAGTAAAATATAAGAGGACAGACAGAGGAGGTGAAGTGATATCTCATAGTAAAATATAAGAGAACAGACAGAGGAGGTGAAGTGATATCTCATACTAAAATATAAGAGAACAGACAGAGGAGGTGAAGTGATATCTCATACTAAAATATAAGAGAACAGACAGAGGAGGTGAAGTGATATCTCATACTAAAATATAAGAGGACAGACAGAGGAGGTGAATTGATATCGCGTACTAAAATATAAGAGAACAGATTCACATTCACAGGAGGTCAGGGGATGCCTCATACTAATATATAAGAGTACAGGTCCACATATGGAAGAGGGATTGGGGTAATGTGAAAATTGATAAAAATGCACGATTTGATACTTGTGAACCTTTTAAAGTGAACTGGGCATAATAGATACACAAGCACAGCCACTGTGACTTCTTTTAGATGTTGCTAGTTCTCTAGCTGTCAGGTTTATCGGTGCTTCACTATCACACTAGCATAGCAATAGTGCAAGTATGAAGCTAGGAAAGTCAGAACTCACATATTTGTTCTAGGTCATTGAGTACCGAGGATAAGTATGACAGATAACAACCTAGTAACTTGTAAAGAAAGAAAACTTGGCAATTACATCATTCATATTTCTACTATGATAGGCTCACTTTAATGCTTCTCCCCTCACAGTAGTGATAGTGCAGACCCAACAAAGTAGTGTAAAAGGCAAAATGGTTGCACTTTGCAGTTTAATTCAATAAACCAGAATGCTGTTTATAATATATTACTCATTTTACTTACTACATTGTTGTCAAAGCTGCTATCTTCTGGAACAAATAATGTTCGATAGGAAGTTCTATTTACCAGCATATCCAAAAATTCAGCACCTTGAGAACTGGAATTACTATAATCTAGAATCATCTGGTGAAACACAATGTTTTAAACATACTTGTTATGAGTACAATGTATACACTTTATGGTATCTTACGTGTTTGTTAACGCTCAATAGCCAGTGAAAGGTTTTAACAGTACCTGAGATTTCAGATTCAGGTTATATGCAAATACAATATAAATACAAAGTGGTGAAAATTATCGAAACAACTGAGAAAGATACCTACACCTAGAAACATTATTCCATCAGTAGTTTCCTCATGTCTATGACACACATAGCTGCTTCAAAACTTTTGTGAATTTACGGACTCTCATTCCCCATTTACAGCAAAGGAATGGTAAATATGCATGGCTTAAATGAATTATTTACCAGACGAAACATGAATGCTGCCATTACTGACTCCTCATTATCCAAAAGCTAGTAGCCTAGCTGTCATTCTGGCCCCTAGCTTCAATACTCTGAACAAAGTCACTAACACAGAACAAGTAAGCTGATTAGGAATTCTGACATTTCTCTGACTTTGTTGATCTGCATGCTTGTTCTGGGCAAGTGACTCAGAAAGCACTAAGCATAGATGGTTGGCACAACAGACAGGCAAAAAGCATTTTCAGTAGGAAATCAGCAGTGGTAATCCTCATATTTCTATGAAATATTTTCTTTTGTACAACTATCTTCTGATATAATTTAAGTGAGAGGTCATTTCAAAGCAAGTAAAGAGGTGTCTGCATTTTTATAGTTTAATCTGCTACAGATACCCAGAAGCCCTCAATCCCCCAAGCACTCTGTATGCAAATATCAACATTCCAGCTCAAAGTTGTGCCTCTGCAGGCCCTCTACTAATCAGAGAGGTACAAGTGTGTGGAAGAGCTAGGAGTTGTAAACAAGAGGTTGTCATTGCATACTGAGCTCCCTGGGGTTGAGGGGTCCAGGGTATTCAAGAAACTAAAACAAGTATGTATTGACACCTTTAGGCGTGTGCCTTTAGGTCTTCATATAACTTAATTTACTTTGCTCAAGTGACAGGTTTGCTTTAACATCATTCTTCCCATTTCACATTTCTCTGGTCAAAACTGCTATGTAAGGTTTTCTTACCACCCAGGCTAAAAGAAAATAATTTATTGTCTATATTTTATAATATTTTAATATATTGTATAAATTGTTTCCTCCATTAAGGCTACCAGGGTTGGTGGAATATCAACTTCACTACTAGCTGCTGTTTCAGCTTTGGGTGAATATCAGTTAAATCTCTGATTGGCTCCTACAAAGAGATCTCTGTTCTCGATTCCTTGTTCTACTGTCTGCTTAGCCCAGTACAAGCACATTCCACTCTTTATTTATTTCTGTGCATGACAAAGAATGTAGTAGGAGTAATGAGAAGCATAGCATTGAAACCCTGCAGCATGAGTATTTCACTATTGTAGGCTTCTGCTTGTTCCTTTGGGCGCACATACTGGATACTTGTTCATGAGAATTTATGTGGTATCCAGAAATGAGGTCTGAGGTCTCAACTCAACATAACCTTATCTCTATGAAGAATTAGATGAGAGTCTTTACAGGAGAGGGCCACCTGTTCCGAAACCTGTCTCGAAGACGTGATGACCATGAGTAAGGTCACCGTACAAGTAAGGTCTGTCAAGGTAATATCCCTTATGGGCTTGAAAGGAGGCCTCTGCAGAGCTGACAAGACCAGAAAAAGATCTCACGGAGATACTGGGGAACAAATCGGGGGAGCAACATGGGCTGCTTCCTGTACAAAAGTTTGGTTTAAACTGCAAAGGTCTGGCAAATGGTTATCAAAAAACCACAGCCGGTTACATTGCCAGAGTAAAGGAAGCCTTAAGTAGGCCATCCAAGTTTTTTAGCACAGGGTCTTTTTTTTAAAGACCAATCATCCTTAACAGGGACTCTCAGGGACTTCTAAAGCAAGAAGTAGCCAGGTCCACCACTGAAACCTTTCACCTTTTTGTGGTAAGCTTCCTTAACTGGGTATTGCAGAGCAAACGTCATAGGAGGGATGTAAACTGGACGCGGACAGTTTTTGTACAAAATCTCCTGTACCACGGGGTAGACCAGAAGAGCCTCACTGAACCATTGCAAGAGTATTTGCTCTAAATGGCGTTAATAGCCTGATGGGAAACTGCTGCATGACTGCTGCAACGGAACCCATTCATCAATAGGAAAAGTGTTATACGGAGCTCCATGTCCGCATCACACCGTTTAAAGTGTTGCATTCACTGTGAGGCACACTGTGCCTGGGTCAGGAATCACACTGCCCACCCCTATTTGCCCAAAGGCAGGGGTCCAGGAAACCCATGGGGGTGTGGGTATAATGGCCGTCTGAGCCCCCCTACGTGTCTTGAAGATCCCGCACACGGGAGATCTGTAGGCACATACTCTGGGAGGGCATAACTCTTCCATGGAGGGGGTCTTCAGGGACATGACTCCATCAGATGGGTGGACCATGGACCTGTAGAGAACCCTGTGGCTAACTGCACCTCTTTGCACTGTGGTACCAAAGGTGAGTGCTGACCTCAGAGTACAGTGCTAAAGCAACATTACAGGCTGGCCCTGTATCTTCCACGTGATGGTCCTTGAGGATTGCCAAGGGACACTTATCCAGAAGCTGCAAAATCACAGCCTCAGTGGCTTAGGTGCAGCTAGGTTGAGGTGAGAGTTCTCTTCAGACAGTAGAATTTGCCAGAATCCAACTTTCAGTAGCGAGAGGTAGTCCTTCACCTCTCCCACAGATCTGTTTGCCAGTGTCAATTCACCTGAAGCTATCTACATATAACCAAGAGTCTAGGATTAGGACCCCATGTCCTGTACTGTACAATTAAGAAATAACTTTAGATGGACTTTACATATGCTGTATATGCACTTTTTTTTATCAATGTTATTTGACTGTTTTGCACTAATGTTTTTGATTCTTTAAGCACTTCCTTATATTTCGGTTTTTGTTTGATTTATTTTTAAGGCAGCATCTGAGGGGTGAAATTAATTTATTTTAAGGGTGTAGTGTACAGTATAGTATTTTAGATGCTTTGATGTGCCCAACACAAATGCCTCTATCGCTACCTCACTACAAGGGCCCTGTAGCAGGTTGTCATGTAGAGAGCCAGTCCTGTCTGGGGTTTTTGCATCACCAAGATTCCTGTCCTACACCTTCTGGGACCTCTACTCAGCCCCAGGTTTTACACCTTGTCCTTAAGGCAATTTAGTGCTCATGAGGCAAACAGACATGTCTCTGGAACCTGGGGAGCAGACAGTCTGTGTCTGCTGGAGCAGCATTTTGGTAACCTGACAAACAGAAGGTTTGTGCGGGTTGATATTTATTAGTGTGTTTGTGTGTAGTTAGTGCGGGGACAAGTATGGGTTTTTGTTCTGGACATTTTGGTTTAATTTGAGCACTGTACTCCAGGGAGCATTGTACCCACTACCTATTCCCCAGTTTACAGGCTCTTGCAGGTAGCATTGACACTTATTTATTTATACTGTCATTATCTATAACATTCTGGAGAGCGATTGCACACTGACTCTGAAACTGGAGGTAGACACATGATGACAAACTCCTCAGCAACTAAACTGCAACTTCACAATCTGTAACCTAATAAGGATTACACTATTCTCTATAAATCATTTATATCAGACCGTTCTGTTGTTGGCACCAGATTTAAGCACAGTACTGGATATTAATAATAACAATTAATGTCTTCAGATACAACTACATAACAGAAAGAAAACTCACTGAGTAGAATGTGGATGTTTTAGAATATGCCTGCAAAACTTCCAGCAGGTTTCCATTGCAGAAGCTGCCATCACCTACATATCCATCAGGACAATCGCAATCTGCATCTAGAAAACAACATTACATTTATAGGAATAATGAGATCGTCTTAACGGAATTGTACAACCTATCAAGCACATTTTGATATAAAGCTGTGACTAATATGTTTGATAAAATAGTCTATGCCAGAAGTTCCATAGCTGACATGTGATATAATTTAAACCGGCTTCACCACATCTGAGAACTGGTAAATTGCAAACATTTTTGGATAGACTTACATTCTTGAGTTAGAACAATGATAGGTGTACTTTAAAGGTGCAGAATATACTTACTGAGTAATAAAAAATGTATCAGGGTTATTCACTAAAGGGTGAAGAGTTTGGAGAAGGCAGGAGAAGTGAATAATCTATGAGAACACAACTGAACTGGAAAGTGAGCTCCTATGCTATAGGTATACAAACCTTTAAAGCGGTAACAGTAGACATCCCATGTCTCACTCAGGTTTGTTCTCTGTTTGTAGTCTACGATTCCAACATGATTTGACCCACAGCTTACACTGGGATACACCGTGGGATACCCTGCAGTTCTATTAAACAGCCATCCAACCAGGCAGCGGTGATAGCCCACCTATAGTACAGTCAAACATGAAGAGATGAAAAAGAACTTCACATTAATGCTGTGAAAAGAATAGTTCCAAAGTTACAGTACATGTTTAAGTTTAAAGAAGAATTATGAGGTGAGTGAAAATCACTCATCCTCATAGTTCGAGCCGACATGTGACAATGAAACTGTCACACGTCGCCTCAATAGATCGGGAAGTGAGCGAACACATACCGGCGCTCGCTCACTTCTCGATCATCTCCCTGCAGAGAGCAGTAACTGTCAATCACGTCTCCCCCCTCCCTGCTCCGATCCTCCAGTGTTGACTGGAGGAATGGAGGGGGGAGGGGCGGGCTCTGCCTCTAGATATGCAGATCCCGCTGTCACTGACGCAGCTGGGTGGATCTCGACAGTAAAGTAGGGATTCGGCTGCAGCGGTCTCAGTATACCGCAAGCTGTAGCTCGCGCTATACTGAGCTGTGGGTCACGGGAGGACGCTAGTATATGTCCTCCAGTGACCCTTAAGAGAACTATGGGGGAAAACACTTGACCAAAGTTCTCTATTAACTACAAAAAAAGTTGCATTCTCAGAACCCTAAAGCCGCAGCTGATCAAGAGGAGAACAGAAAAAGTAGTACAGCATGATCCAATTTGCTCCATTAGGTTAAAAAATCCTCCAAAACACCCAAAGGCATGTGGGGGGATGCATTATCCCAACAAAAGTGGGAAGATATCCAGACAAAAATTCTCATTTCCATCTAACACAACAAATAGTGGTGTGATGGATTCTCCTGTATAAAAAAAACAACTAAAGAATCCATATGAGAGTAATATTTTTTCTAACTTCTTTATAACAAACGCATCACAAATCTGGACAATACAAGCTAGGCATACTGTGTAAAGATTCATAAGCAATGGTTACATTATTATCAAATTGACAAGTAGATCTGAAAACATAACTATAGAAAGTTAAATGCAAAATCCGGCCTTTTTCTGGAACAGTTGCACATGGGCCAGCCTGTTCTATCTCACTGCAACCTTACAGGTCACTGAGGCTGCCTATTTCATTAAAAGAACCAATAGAGATACTTAAGGGGAAGGGAGAAGTGGTCAAGAACTGCATATAATATCAGCTGCCTATATCTTTGGACCTACTGATCTTCGCAACAACTTACAGTTTTCATGGAATACTTAAGTATTTTTTTTATATAATGTGAATTTTGAATTGTTAATGTTAGTAACTTTATGAAAAATGACTGAATATATCTTGCCACTTGAGTCTCTGACAGATAGAACAGACCGACAGTTAATTCATCTCACTAGTGTCTAACTGGTCAGATCAGTGGTGTGTAGAGCTGATCCCTTTAACTAGTCCATGAAACATGCCTAATGTCTTAAAATGTTGACAATACATATGTTGGATTATTCCTAACGACAAGCATATCTTTAATATTTTTTTTTATATCACAATAATTCTTCTTCATTATTTCAACTTAAAATGTCAATATTCACTTGAATTCACACAAATCTAACAATCATGTCTTCACTATGATCTTCAGTTTGCCCCTGTTTTTTTGAGAATAGACCAAGTAGAGCATATAAGAAATACTGTTGGTGATGAAGAATTCTGTACCTGTTGGGCAGCCGACAGCTGTTGGAAAGTGGCGATGCTTGCCCCCTCTGAACTGCATAGACTTACTGCTTCTTCATATGTTAATTGATATTTGCCTTTTGGGGACTGCAAATGAAAAACTCCAGCTGTTTTCTCTGAAAAAAAGAAATAACCATAGCTGTAACACAATGCTTACTAGTGGCCTATTTAAAGCTTGCACCAAGTTCATACAAATCGTAGTTCCACTGCATACAGATGTACCAAAAAAGCCATGCATTTGTAATATGTTACAATGGGTTTTAAAAGTAAACTTAGCCTTTAAAGCCTTTGGAACAGAATGACAGCCAGGTAACTAGTATTTTCCAAAGAAGACGTTTTCAGTGTCAGTCTGCGTATTCTCGCCCTACAGATTTCCTTTCAGGGTGTGGTTGGGTAGGTCCACTGGGAGCTCAGAGAGGTGAAGGTACATCAAAGTGGGGGACAATTGTTTAACAGGGTCATATTCAAGGGAATTCGGGATAAAAGAATGCCACTAATTGGATGATTTAGGTATTGGGGGCCATCCATCTACAAAAAATGAATGCCAGGATCAAAATTAGAACCACCCAGCAAGTTAGATGGTACCCCTTCCGTCAGATGAAATGGCATATTTTCATGTTGGTCTGTAGTGTTCCCTTATAAATAATAAAGAATTTTTGTCATTGAATGAATTGTTAGTAACAACACGTTTATAACCGAAAAGCCACATTCAGTGGTGAGTTTGCATTACACAAATTCCACATTCCGTGTACCTTCATAATGGAGATCAGTGCAGGTTGCCAGTGGGTCACAGCCTCCATTTTCTTGTAGGCATCGGTCAACAGGTGGAATGTATTTTTCAAGGCATTGCACACCATTGCCCACATAACCATCGTGACATTCACATCTCCGCGTGTTCTGAAAAAAGGATAAGTTAGGTCTGACAGAAGAACTCATTATGGAACATTAAATCATGAAATTAATAAATACGTAAATAAATAAATAAAATACTGCCAGTGGGAGCCACAAGGGTTGGGGAGGGGGGGGGGGGGGGGGGGGGGGGGGGGAAG